TCACTTGACCTAACTCCGCTGATGGGCTCTTAGCCCCTTTGTGCTAATGATGAAACTAGGCCTGAGGATTTAGGCCATGTCCAAGGTCACAGGGGAAGTGGTGGAGCCAGTACCAGCCCTCTGCTTACTTTGCAAAAACCCCAGGACACTATAGCTGGGACTTGGGTTCCAGACCCAGCTTGCAGTGTGGCCTTGACCAAGTCACCTAACCTCTCAAGAGATTAGTATTCTTTCCCCATAGGTGGGGATAATGTCCCACAGTCCTCTCAGGGTTATTGTGAAAAACAAACAGGAGAGCTAATGAACACAAACCATGAGGCACTCAACAGACACTCAGTGCAAGCTTCTCAGCAAAGGAAACCCCCTCCCTACGCTTTCTTGGCACCCCGCTCCTGAGGTGTGCATGTGCCCCACCTAAGCACAGAGACTGGGAGACAAAGGACCTCCCAGACCTCTGGGAAGGGACTGAATGACCACTTGGCGCCACCTAGTGGTCCATGGTGTGTGGTGCTTGGGAAGCAGGAGGGCCTGGCTAGGGTTGGAGGGTCTGAGCATGACTATTGGTCCTGTGTGGGTGGGCAAAATATGCCAGAACCTCAGGAAGGATGAGGTCATGCCTAGCTAAGCCCTCTCCTGGCTGCCCCACCGAGAGCAGGGTGAAGGTGGGCACTCAGGACCGGGCACTGTCCTGGTGTTCTTTCATTTCTCAAACATTTTATGAAGTGTCACCTCTCTGAAGTCATCATGCTGAGTGCTATGGGGACACAAAGACATCTAAGCCAGGTCTCTTGATACCAAGAGATCCACCTCCTTCTTGGGGAGACATGTTTGTAAATTGCTCATTACCCTCTGAGGCAGATCACAGCAAGCACTGAGGAGGGAACATTGAGGCGAGGGAGACAAATGGGGGCCAGTGGGAAGTGGGACTTACAGGAGCCTCTTGCCCCCAGAGGGGCTCTCACCCCAGGCTGAGCCCCCTCCAGGACAGGCCTGCCTCCCCCAACTCCCATCTCCTCTTGCTTTAAAGTGCACCATCGAGCTCCATCTTTCACCTCTGTGCCTTTGTTCTAGGTACACAGTTCCCTTTTCCTAAATGCCTTCTCCAGCCTGTCCTCCTGACAAACTCATCTCCAGCCTTCCTTCTGGAGAGTGGAGGGGACAGGAGGAAATCCCTGCGACTGGGCAACTAGGGAGGAAGCAGAAGTCAAGGCCCCCACACCCTCCAGCAGCAGCTCAGGCAGGTGGCAGGCCCATATGGTTCCCTAACTGCAGGCTTTGCATTCTTTCATTCCTTTATTCCTTCCTTGCTATCTGCCTGCCCTGTTCCATGTGCTGGGCTGGGCGCTGGGGCTGCAAGAGGCAGGAGACTCACTCCTGTTCTGAGAAGCTTTGTTGTGCAGGAGAGAGACCCACAGCCAAGGACAGTACATGTATGCGCTCGGAGGCAGGAACTGACCGTTCTGCCTAGAAGAGGGCAGGGCGAGATCCTAGGAAACAAGAGATGATGTCTGAGGTGAGTCATGAAGGGTTAATCTGGATATTTCAGGATAGAAACATGTAGCAAAGTCAGGAGAGGGGCAAGGCATCCACCTCAGAGCCCCTTTCTCCCACCATCCTCTGAGAAAGCTTCGGCCCCAGCCCGCCCCCGCAGGTACTCTCTTACTGAGTATTTAGCTCTTGTCACAGTTTGAGGTCTTGTTAGTTGCTTGCTTGTTTATAATTGGTCTCCCTCCCTTCACTATAAGTGTCCGGAGCAGGAGGCAGGGGTGCATCGCTCTGTTTTACTGTGGGGTCTCCAGTGTGCAGCCCAGCGCCTGGCCTATTAGAGGCATTTGATAAATGTTTGTGGAATGAATAAATGGATGAACACACAGGATGGGCCGGAAGTCTCCTGTATCCCAGTATGATAGGATCTTTACTGGGGATATTTTCTCCTTTGTTCTGCCTGTGGTGCTTAACCATTAACCATCCACCCCTGACCCTGTGCTTTTTTTTTTTTTAAGGAAGATTAGCCCTGAGCTAACTGCTGCCAATCCTCCTCTTTTTGCTGAGGAAGACTGGCCCTGAGCTAACATCCATGCCCATCTTCCTCTACTTTATATGTTGGATGCCTACCACAGCATGGCTTGCCAAGCGGTGCCATGTCCGCACCGGAGATCTGAACCTGAGAACCCCAGGCTGCCAAAGTGGAACGTGCACATTTAACCGCTGTGCCACCGGGCTGGCCCCAACCCCTCGTGTTCTAAATGGGGTCACCAGGCCTTTGTGCCCCTTGGCCTTGAATCTAGAAGCTGCCTGAGGACACACTCTTCTAGCTTTTGCTCCTGAAGTCCAATTCCTTGAGGGGACTAGGGACTATGCTGGGGGGAAGGAGAGGCAGAGAGAAGAGGGTCCCCAAGACTGGGGAGGCACAAGTGATCAGAGGGTCCCCTGGGAGCATCACAGGGAGGTGGCAGGTTCCAGAGGGCGTAGTGTGAGGCCCTGGAGAGGCTACAGTTCTGGGAAAGCTGCTCCCCCACCTCCACTCCTGGGCAGAGTTAAGGCCTGTGGGTGTCAGCAGCTGCTGTGAGGCCCTGGAGATGAGAGGCCTGCTCCCGCAAGCCTCATTCCCTGCCTCTATCACCCTGGAGGGGTGCCCCCAATTCGGACTGAGATGGGGTTTCCCTACACCCTCAGGAGTACAGGTTCTAAGTTAGATTAAATTAGATGTCGAGAAAATAAAGAACTGTGAGGTTTCTTGCCCATCTCCCTCACAAAACAATCCACTGTCATGATCTGGCCTGAGAGGCAGGAATGTCTGAAGCTCCCCCTCATAGTGAACATGTTTGCCTTCCGCCAGGGCCCTTCTGGAGAGCATCTGCTCAATGAGAAGGGATTACGCAGGACAGGACGTTCTAGTGTCCAGGCAGTCTCGTGAGGAAGACATCTTAAAGATGTCACAGGGCAAGTCCCTGTGAGACCATGGAGAGTTGAAATCAGTCCCTGGGTGAGGGGAAAGGTCTGGGGGTGGTGGGAGGCCTCAGCAGTGTGTGTTGAGGGTGGGGTCAGAGAGGAGAGTCCCTGGAGGGACTCTCAGACGTCCTTAACAGCCTGGCTCCGGGAGATGATGGGAGAGTCATCTCTTGGCAGAAGCCCTGGTCCCTCTTGCACCTTGATGGCACACCCAGCCTCTTGCCAGTGGCTGCAGGGCCTGCGCGGGAGACCAAGCCCATCCAGCCTCATACCTGCCTTTACATCTGGCCTGAGTGACATGAAGAGGCAGAAGAGTGGCCTGCTGGCTGTGCTCTTTGGTGTCCAGGGGTGGCCACAGAGGTCCTCCTGGCCAGCTGCTCCCAGCTCCACTCCTGCCAGTGGCTCTAGCCTCCCTGGTGCCAGTCGCTTCCAAGCCTGGGTTTCTGGGCTTCATATGAATTCTGCAAGTTAGCCTTCTGTTACCTTCCTCTCCTGTTTAGTTATCCTGAGACAGTTTCTCCTGTTTCCACCCAAGAACCCCCAGATGGTGCAGAGTTTCCAAAAAACACAAGACAAGCCTATCTGCGCTGAAGTAGATGGTCCCCACACTGTGTTAAGTGGAAGGAGTGAAAAACGCAAGGTGCAACCAGACTGTAATTCCCCTGAGAGCCCGGCCCCTGTGTGCTCACAGCTGGACTCGGGAGGAGGGCTGTGTGCTATGGCAGATTGGGAACAACCAGACCCTCGAATGGCTCCACATTGAAAGGCCCCCATGGCTGCCCACTTGTTGGGTGGGGGGTTCACCCTAGTGAGCTCTGTTTCTGCTCCTAAGAATGTCTTCTGTTTGGGACAGAGAAAAGAGTTCATGCCACAGGAAAACAATCAACTCTTCAAGGTCAGGAAGTGTGGTGTCAAACAGGCAGTGGTCCTCCGGTGTCCAGGGGCCAGGCTGGCACCCCTCTAAGCCTCTACATCTTGTCTGCCAAAGGAGCCAACATAGGAACCGGACAGGACTGCCCTACAGACAGCACAGTGATAATCATTGTAGTCATAAATGAGCTCCTGCCATGTGGCTGGCCTTTCTCCCAATAACCCCATGGGAAAGGAAGTTACCACCTACACTTTATAGGTGAGGAAATCCTCTCAGAGAGGTGGTGTAACATGCCTAAAGTCACACAGCTGGCGAGTGGCAAAATCAGGACAGAACACCAGGTCTATCTCCTGAACTTTGACCATCACTCAAATTCTCCACAGGCTGTAGCCCTGCCTTCTCCATGAAGCCCACAGGGAAGGTCTGAGGCCTCGTAGCCCCTCAAACCACCACAGCACTGCGCCCATGTGTCAGTGGTTTCCCCCACTTAACCAGACACCTGCTGAGCACCCAATCTGTACACTGGGGCCCCTGTTGGCTTTGGGAAGACAAGGATAAACTCCTTCAAGCACCCAAATTCTGTGTCCCCTGGCAAACAGCATGGCTTTATTATTCTTGACTGCTCCCACCATCGGGGATTTCACACTTCAGTAGATTGCTCTCTGTAGCTCCCAATGCATGCTTCCACCATAACCCAAGTTTACCAGCCAGAATTGATGCCTTTTCACTCAGAAGCAGGGAACCCTAACAGTTTCCGCCAGCCTATGAGGACCCCTGCGCAATTTCCACCAGGACTTCTGATCAACTGTAGCTAGTTTGTTGGTGATTCCCTCCCATCAGCTGCAGCCCCAGCAAGGCCCAAAGTGAGGCCTCCAGAAGACCCTAGCCTTCTTCAGATGTTGTGACAGGCCTGTTCCCCACCACGTGAATTCTCTCGTGTGTCCTTGTCTGACTATTGGGTGACGGTGGTTCACCTTGTTATTTCATCATGAGTCACCAACCTCAACTTTCCAAATCACCAATGATACTAACAACGTCTCACATAAAGGTGCTGGGGGCTCAGCCATCGACACGTAAACACCTCTGTGTGCAGCGGGGAGGCAAGCACAGCCTCCCTGGAATGGATTCCCTGGGCCCAGGCAGGGGTGCCTTCTTAAAGAGAGCCAAAGACTCACAGTCCTTACGCAAATCTCAAGTTTATTTGTCTTAAATAAATACGATCTGAGAACATCATTTCAATACCCCCAAATATAATTTCTTCTCCCAAAAAGCAGCTTAAGGTTCGGGCACACAGTTCACAGCATGTGTTCTCACAGTAGGTCCGGAGGGAGTTTGTCCTGGCTTGTGCTAGGCTGGGCCTGGCTGGGAAGATGCCCCCAGGTTCCCTTCCCTGTTTGGGGCCTGTACTCAGCCTGAGGCATCCCAGGACCCCTACAGCCTGCTCCTGCTCCTGGAGCACCTGTCCTTGCTGCCCCTCCCCTCTGCAGCCCAAAAAGAGCAGCATTCGCGACCATGTGGCCCTGGGGCCAGCCCTCGCAGAGAGCTCTGTCCTCTTACACCAGGTATCCCTACAGGACCATTCCCAACCGGCACAGAAAGGGTTACTCCTGCCCCTAGAAGCAGCTCAGCCAGGGCAAGGGGAGAAACTGAGACACAGCTGGCAAATGGGTGGGAAGCACTCTCCCTTGAACCCTGCCAGGAGGCTTGGAGCCCCTAGTGAAGGGAGGAAGGGACACTGACCACCCTCCCCCTGTTATCCCCTGAGACCCTGGCCTTAGGGTGCAGGAGCATGGTGAGACCATCCTTTCTCTTCTTTTTGTGGCTCAAAGGTTCGGGTCCATGTTCTCCTGGTCTGAGGCTGCCTCATCATCATTTGGGGAGTCCTGGATCAGAGACAGAGAAGCCCAATCGTGGGCTTGTGCTGTCCTCCAGGGCTACAGCCTGGGAGCCAGCATCTCCTTTCTCTTGCCCCTGCCCCCAACAGAGCCGGAAAAGGCTCTGTCACCCCCACTCAAGCGTCCCTTGGCCTTCCCTCCATCGTAGCTCCCAGGCTGCCCATGGCCACATGGCCCACCATTGGGTGACACCCTCTTACCAGGCTGAGGCCCCTGCCTCGCCACAGGTTGGCATAGAAGCTCAGCACACGGGGATCACAGCGAACCGCCATGGGGTCAAAGTCCAGCACACGCAGGCCCTGCAGGCTGCGGGCCCGGGAAAGGGCTACGTAGGCCTGGCCACTGGCAAACACACGGGCCAGAGAGATCTCCACACAGTCCAGGGACATGCCCTGGGGGGTGGAGGAACAGAGCTGGAGCCAGCTCAGCCTGAAATCCTTTGTGCCCAAGAACCTGACCCCACCTTCCCCAGCCCAGCTACTGCCCCTGGATCTCCTCGCCTAGTCCAGAGATTCTTGAGGCAGAAGGACAGGCTGACAGCAGATGGATGTCTGAGTAGGATGGGGTCCAGGAGACACATCCAGGATAAGAATAGAGGGGTAGAGGTGAAAGGAAAGAGCTCAGGCCTGGGTCAGACAAGCATAGAAATGAATCCTGGCTCTGCCCCTCACTAGCTGTGTGACCTTGGACAAGTTACTTAACCTCTCAGCCTTGGTATCCTCTTCTGTAAAACAAGAATGATTATTACATCTATACCTCTTACAGTTGTAGTAAGGATTAAATTTAACATATCTAGTAGTGGCTCAGAAAATGGCAGGGCAGGAGATGACGGGGGAAGTACACATGTCCAGGAAAGAGAGAGGAGGTGGGATGGGAAATGCACTAAAGAAAGGTTTATTCTACAAGTGGTCTGGTACTTTCCATCCGGGGCAAGCTGAACCCCCAAAAAGCCTTTAAGACCCCCCTTCAACATGCCCCAGGCCTATCCTGTCCCTGCTCTGCTCTGCCCTGCCCACATCCCCTGCACTGGCTGCTCACCTGGCTCTTGTGGATGGATATTGCCCAAGCCAGCTGGAGGGGTAGTTGCTGCCGGCTGAGAAGCCGGCCCCCTGTGGCCTGCACTGTCCAGCGGTCAGCCCGGATGACCTCGGTGACTCCACACAGAAACCGCACCTGGGGCAGCCCTGAGGGAGGCATGGAGAAGTCCGACCCCTCAGCCTGCTTCAGGGTTCAGAGGTGAGGATCCCTCCCCTTTGCATCCTAGCCTTCTCGTCCTCACACTCACCCCTGGGCCCTGCTGCAAACCCAAGCAGCAGGACTGCTTCCCCATCGCCTACCTCTGCCCTCAGCTTCGAACCCGACTACCACCCCTCGGGCGCCATTCACCAGGCCCCGGGACACTGCTAAGTTCTTCACCAGCATCACCTGTAAGAGAAAGAGAACTGGAGGCAGAGAGAGTAGCTGGTTCCATCCGATGCCTGTCCTCAGCCCCAGTGGTTGATGCAGCGGTTCCCAGGGCCTGGGGACTGTCACGGAGGGGCACTGAGTCCTAATCCTTGGCTCGGCCTCCAGCTGACTATGACCCCTTTGGCAAGCTGCTTTATTTCCTGAGGTCTCAGTTTCCCCTTGTGTCAAAGGGGAATAACATTTGCTCAGTTTGCCTCAGAAGGATGGGGTAAGGAGCAATAAGGTAACAGATCTCACAGCATTTTGAAATTTACCACATCTGCTATGGGGTATGTGTGAGCCACAATCTTGAGGGAGAGCACCCAGATCCTGCCACCCCTCTTCCAACCACACTGTGTCTAAATTTCCCCTTGGATGCCCTTTGGGACCTGAGGAAAGGCTCCCATTTGGCCCACCCCCAACACTGTGGCAGGAAGGAGGACTCTGACAGTATGGGGTACAGTACAGAAGACGACCGCGTCGGGTAGGTATTTCACTCCCTGTTTTCAAGATGAGGAAATGGAGCTTCAGCAAGGGGAAGGGACTTGTCCAGAGCAATGCTGCCTGGAGCTGCAGCTGCAGGAAGTGGAGGGCAGTGGAAAGCTGAAGACAGGGAGGTGGTGGAACAGGAGGGAGAGAGTTGCTGGGTCACAGCTGGGCCCTCTGGCTGTGGAGCAGCCTGGGCAGAGGGGCAAGGATGGGGGAGGCCCAAGCTCCCAGGGTCTAGACCCTGCTTCCCACTCACCTGGGCCCCCAGCTTTAGCTGAAGGAGCTGGCTAACGGGACACTGGGCATCCAGGGTCCGGGCTTGCTCAGGGTCACTGTCCATGGCCTCAAAGCTGTGTACTTCACCTGGGAAAAGAGTTGAATAAACAGATTACACGTCACTGACTTGTGCCTCAGTTTCCAAAAACACATATTAGACCAGGGCCTGGTGGGAGGTAGTGAGGACAGCTCAGGCCTAGTTGGAGCTTTGAAATCGGAGGCCTGGGTTCAAGTGTCACTTCCAGCATTTACTGGCTGAGTGACCTTGACCCACTCAAGGTCACATCACTCAAAGTCACAATTACATCTGCAAATGTAATGGCCTTCATGGCCACAGAGGTTGGCGGCCTAGAAATCCAAATGACACCAAGGGCCCAGGCTGCCTTGGGGGCCACACCTGTCTGATGGCCCCTCCCAGCTGGTCTTGGCCAGTCCCAGCTCCCTGCTCACCTGGTAGCTCCTGCAGCCGCCTCTCATTGGTAAGGGCCACATCATCCTGGTGGGTGCAGAGCCTCGTGGCCACAATCCCATCTCGCCCCACCTTGTGAGTGGCAGTAGCCCGGAGCTGGCGGGTCACCTCATCTGAGCACCTGTGGAGGCTGGGCTGTCAGGGCAGAGCCTACCTGAACACCAGGGAAGGCAGGACACGTGGGCAGTATGGCCCAAGCAGCAGGCCACAAGTCAGGCCTGGGGACTGGAAGGGGTCACCGGGGCAAGGTTTGCTGGTCCCCAGGCTGGTCAACTTGTCCCTTCTCCACTTGGACCCTGATATGGAGAATGAGCTTGCAGGTGGTGCTTGGCTATGATCATGGGGGAGCACCCTTCCCTGTGTCTGCCCCCAGGCAGGAGCCAGGTACCCCCCGCTCCCCCCCACCATTGCTCCTGAGGAAGTTGGGTGCAATGAGTGAGCACAGAGGTTTAAGGACCTAGACAGGCACTGATGTTGACACCCTGTAATACTGGTTGCCTATAATCAGATCAACTTCCAAGGTACAATCTTCTAGCCCCTTGCCTACTGCCTTGGGGGAAAAAAATCTAGCCTGTGTTTCTGTTTTGCCCCATCTCAAGCCCTCCTCCACACGGGGAAGCCTGGGGGCAGCAGCAACTCAAGTGGGCGATGGGGGAACAGCTTGAACCCCCTCTCCCTGCTCTGCCACTCAGGCTTCCTCTTGTCCCCCACGCATGCTGCTGAGTGCTGTGCACCTTCTTCCCTGCCTCCTGTCCCCAGGCATACAAAGCCCCTCATCACCACCCCCTCCACTGTCCTAGCCCAGTCTGACCGGTTTTCAAGGCCAAGCTCTGGGCCATATCTTCCGCCCTCCTGGCCTCCTGTCCACTCCTAAGTTAGAGTAGCTGTAGCATTTCAACCTTTTGTCCTAGCTGGGGTGGGATCATGTCTGCAACTTCCCTGCCCCTACCAAGTGGCCCTACATGCTCTAAGCGTGGAAGGAACTTGGGTTTTAGATTCAGCTCTGGGTTCAAATCCCAGGTTGGCCACTTACTCGCCGAGACTTCACCTCTTTGAACCCCAGTTTCTGCATCTGTGAAATGGGAGTGTTAACATCTCTGAATTCCTCTTGTGTGTCCATCTGCCCATACTTCCCTAAGAATTCCTCTGTGCCAGGCCCTATGCTGGGTGATAGGGACACAACCCTGGGGGAGGCTCGGTCCCAGCACTCACAGAGTCAACATCTCCTATGGGGCCTGAAGCATTTCTTCCCTTTCTCTGGGTCCCTGTGCTCCTCTCCAACCCATGCTTGGATGCTCTCCTGTGAGCCCTTCTCTGTTCACCAGGGCCTACCTGCCCAGCCGCACGGCCTGCAGCAGAGAGACGAAGGTCTGATCTGCCTGCCTCCACACCTCAGTCAGCTCCAGGGTCACTGGGACACACCTCCTCCAGCTCTTGGCCTGATGAGGGAGGGGTGGGGGTGTCAGGGGGGAGAGCAGACTCCTATGGGGGGTGGGGCCAGAGAGTGAGTGGTACCTGGAAGCAGAACTGTGGGGGCTGGGAGCCCTTGGTTACAGGTGGCAGCTGCAGGAAGTCCCCACAAATGATGAGCTGGATCCCTCCAAATGGCTTGTTCTGCTGTCGGACAGCTCTGGAGAGGAGTATGGGGTGCTGGCATGGGCAGGGTCCACATGGAAGACTACCAGAACCCAGCCCTCACTGCCCACCCTGCACATACTGACCTGGCCACAGCCTCAAGCTTGTCAAACAGATCTGCCTCCACCATGGAGATCTCGTCAATGACCAGCCGCTGGCAGTTCAGCCAACCTTGCCGCACACCTGGCCGCTGGGCCAGGGCCACACACTGGGCCAGGGGAGCCTGGCCCGAGCCAATGCCTGTGAATGACACTACTCAGCCTTGGGCTAAGGCCCCAGCCCTGTCTCAACATTGACCTCCCCTTCCCCCTTCCCACAGGCCTGGCTTGCTCCCAGCTCAAGCCCCAGGGGCTCTCACTTACCTGCAAAGGCATGGAGGGTAGTACCCCCGATGTGGCAGGCTGCCACCCCAGTGCTGGCAGTGGCCACAGTGCCTATAGGAGGCAGTGAGCCCAGGATACGCTTCAGCAGATAAGACTTCCCTGTCCCTGGGCAGAAGGCAAAGTTAGGGTCACCTCTCCTCCACCCACCCCACCACATTCTCCCTGCCCTCACTCTGTCCCCCACTACCTGCACTCCCAGTGAAGAAAATGCTCTGTCCTTTCAGGACAACCCTCAACACAGCAGCCTGTTCCTCAGAAAGCTGCGGTTTGGCGGGGGGCAAACTCAGCCTCTTCATAGGCAGGGGCCACCTTGGGACTTCCTGGGGGGATAAGGCTGTCTCAGGGCCTCCTCACACCCCCGAGGCATTGCCCCTCCCTTCTTGGCCTGGGTACAACACTAGGCCTGGTAGCCCTGTGTGTCTCTGCTGGGCTTCACCCCTTGGAGCCCTTGGTCACCTTTGGTTCACTTGGAGATCTTGCCAATAACTATCAGGGTCCAGGACTCTCCATGAGGGAGGGACCAAATCTGGGGCTCCACTGACCTCTAGTGCCCTGAAGACCCCAGTGTGTGGGTCTGGATTCTCCCTCAGCTCTCTCCCCTGGTTCCCTGACTCTCTTCTCACCCATCCTTCCTTCTCACTCCTCTTCTTCTCACAAACCTGTCTCTTTCACCTCAAAACACCCAGCAAAACCCCGCCTAGCCAGGGCCCCTTCTTGCTCCATCTCCATCTTCTCACCAGCTTAGTCTCAAACCCCTGTGGTCTGCAATCCATCTGCCACAGTTCCAAACACTGTCAAACCCACCTGACTTTGTCTCGCCATCTGATTGGACCTGTTGGCTGCCCCGACACTGCTGACCACTTCCTTCTCTCCAAAAGCTCCTCTCCTCCAGGGAGAGTACATTCCTGCTTTTCCTTCTGAAGTCTCCTTCTCTGCTTTCTCTCTCTCTCCTTTTTTTTTTGAGGAAGATTAGCCCTGAGCTCACATCTGCCGCCAATCCTCTTTTTGCTGAGCAAGATTGGCCCTGAGCTAACATCCGTGCCCATCTTCCTCTACTTTATATGTGGGACACCTACCACAGCACAGCTTGGTAAGAGGTGCATATGTCCAGACCCGGACCCAAACCAGCGAACCCCTACCACCGAAGCAGAGCGTGCGATCTTAACCGCTCCGCCACCCGGCAGGCCCCTCTACTTTCTCTTTTAATGTGGCCTGGGTCTCCTTTTCCTATTCTTGCTTACCCAGCCTCAGGGATTGCACTGTGAAAAACATATGCACAATTCCCACATCCCTGTCGTACTCAGAAGTTGGACGGGCCTCTCCTCTGAGATAACCAGCAGCCCCCTCAAATACCGCCACCATCTTCCCCCCAAACTTGGCCTTCCTCAGTCTTCCATCTAGGTGGCACATCCATTCCCCAAGGCGTCCCCCCTTTCCGGTCCTCACGGTGCTGGGCTCAACCTCCGGCCGGGGCTCCGCGGGCCGCTTCACTGGCATTGTGTCCGAGACCCGGGTGGCCGCCGCGCGCCGAAGCTCCTCGGGCTGCAGCGGGCTGATAGTGACAAAGTCGCGGGGCCGCGGGCCAAGCAGCTGCGTGCGTGCGGAGGCCGGAGGGGGACCTGGGGCCGCTGCCAGCTTGAGGCGCAGCGTGCGCAGGAAGCGGCGCAGGCGGTCCGGGGGGCAGTCGGAGAGCAGCAACTGCACCGCGCCCGCCCGGGGAGCACCCTCGGCCGCGAGCCGCAGAGTGCTGCGCCCGGCCGCTGCGAAGCGCGTGAAGAGGCGCGCGGCGCGCAGGGGGAAGCAGCGCGGCCGCCCCGCGGGCCCGGGCGCCTGCAGCCGCAGCATCAGCTCGCGGCGCTCGTTACGACCCAGGCTCAGCTCCGCGGTGCGTAGGGCCTGGCGCCTTCGCGGCTGCCCGCCTGGGCTCAGCTCCTCCACAGCCACGCGGCACCGCAGCTCCGCGTCCTCGCGCTCCGCTGCCTCTGCCTGCGTCCCCAACGGCATCGCCACCGCCTCTGCAGGTCTGCAAAAGGACCGGAGCACAGGGGTCACGGGGACTCAGAGGACATAATAGGTGGTATAGAGGCTGTGAGGGGGAGCCCTCTCAAGGCCTTATAGGGTCACGGAGGCTGTCATTGGTAACACGAAGAGGTAACACAAAGAGACGGTAAAAGGGCCCTGGGACCAACCGGAAATTCACTTAGAAATTACTGTCCTACACGATAATTTCCAGAGTAGCGTTAAATGCACCCCGGATTGGGGGCCCTCGGCTGTAGTGCAAGGGCTGCGGAAGAAGGGCGCCCCCGCACGGAAAAGAAGCCTGCTTCCTAGAGATCCAGTGTGGGCACGGGAATCCTCAGAGTCCTCTTCCCAGGAAGTAGAGGAATCTCACGTGGGGAGATGAGCGGGAGACGTATGTAATAAGCGCCTTCTGTCTTCCAGGTAGGTTCACTGGTTTATATGCAGCCAGGCAGGTCTCATTATTCCCCGTGTACAGAAGTGGAAACAGGCTGGGAGAGGCCACAACGGCTGGCAGTAGTCAGGGCTAGTGTGATTCCGAAGCCCTGGAGCTTCCCATCTCCAAGGTGGGAAAAGGTAGAGAATATTTGGCTAGGGAAATCGCGGGGGGACCCTGGGGCCCAGGAATCCGCGCTCCCTCCGTCTGACCTACTCGTCTGCAACCTCCCGGCAGGGACCCCTTGAAGAAGCAGGCCCTCTGGCAACTCACTTGCGCCGGCACTCCGACAAACAAACTGAATGGAGCCGGCTGGCTAGCGAGGTTCGGGCACTGGGAACTTTCAAATCCTAGGAGTAGAGAATCATCCTATCACCGGCCGGATCTTTAAATTCTCCAGCCAATCAGAGATAGGGGCGTGACAATGGGCGTGTCTTTCGTTGAGTTCCAACTCCCCGAGCTTGGGCTGTACCAATCGCACGCCGGAGGAAGGAGGCTTCCCGTAGAGGCCGAGCGTACCAAGTCGCGAGGAGGAGTGGGCGTGGTGCAGGGGGCTGCGGGGAGCCGGGGGACCCGGGGGAGCCGAGGCTGGGCTGCGAGCGGATTCGCGTCGCCTAACGCAGCTCTGAAGATTTATTTTCATAGCCATTCCTCCAACACGCTCCCTCTCCCGTCTCGCCTTCACAGGGCTGCTCAACTTGGCCTTGAAGAGCTGCCGCTAATCCCTCCCACCCCTGTTTCCACTCAGGATCATCGCCCACTGCTGAGCAGACCACCCTAACGCCTGCGGTTTCCGCGGCCCCCGCCCCCCAACTCTTTCCACCCTTCTCTGCCTTCGTAAGGGTCATTTTACGATTCTGTCTTTCTGACCGCGCTGAGTCCCATCAGTGAGGGACTCAGACCCGTGCCAGGTTCTTAGAGAGTACAAACAAAGGGTGGGAGTCCCTGTCTTCAGGGAATTCTCTCTCGTTTTGCACTGGATGCTTGGGGAGTTTATTTTTTAGTTATCTTTTTTTCCCTCGTTGAAGCTTGGAATTACTTAGCTAAAAGGGATCCTGCAGGTGAGTCCAGCCCCTTCATTTACTGAATTGCCCTTTTTGCCAATGAGGAAACCAAGGCTCCAAGAGGTTTTACCAAAAGTCACACAGCTTGTAGATAGCACAACAAAGCCTTGAACCCAAGTCGAACCCGGCCTAAGAGCCTGCGTGTTTCGCTCCTACACCACATTGTTCCCAGGTGACTGGTCTTCATGAAGGGAGTCCAAGCTCGGACTGGAATCTCAGCTCCTGACGGCCACTGCAATGCCCCAGGCCTGTCAGTCAGATGTTACCTTCAGCAAGTTTCCTTAATATCTCAAGCCTTTGTTTCCTCATATGTAAAAATGATAGATAAAAATGTGATGATAGCACACCTCTGTGAGTATACTAAAAACCATTGAATGGTTTGGTTTAAATGGGTAAATTGTATGGTATGTAAATTATATGTCAATAAAACTGTTAGAAAAAATCATGAGAAACATTTTTCCTCTTCTGTGTTGTCTGGACATATGAGTACCAGTGGCATAGGTCATTACATTAATGAAAACTTTCAAAGTCACTGTGGTAGGCAGAAAAATGACCTCCCTAAGATGTCTACGACCTAATCCCCAGAATTTTGCAAAAGTGATAAATTAGGGTCTTGAGATGGGAAGATTATCCTGGGTTGTCTCGGTGGGCCCAATGGAATCACGAGGGTTCTTATAAGGGAAAGAGGGAGGCAGCAGTCAGAGATGGAGATGTGATGAAGGAGGTGGAGAGGGGTGTGTCTGTGTGTGTGTGCACGTGTGTGTAAGAGAGAGAGACAAATTTGAAGATGTTGCTGCTGGCTTTGAAGATGGAAGCCAAAGAATACAGGAGACTTCTAGAAGCTGGAAAAGGCAAGGAAGTGTGTTGTCTCCCCAGAGTCTCCAAAAGGAATGCAGTTCTTGATTTTAACCCGGTAAGACACATTTCAGACCTCCAGAGCTGCTAGATAATAAATTCGCATTGTTTTAAGCCGCTAAATTTGTAGTAATTTGTTACAGCAGCAATAGCAATGAGAAACAAATACAGTCATACAATTAGAAAATGAAAAGGCTGGGATTAGGAACCCAGGTCTGTCTGTTTCCAAAGCCTGTATTCTCTCTTCCCACTACCCTCTGCTCAAAGTGGACCCAGCACACTCACACAGCCTGCACCACCCGCCCCCTTCTCTCTGTGCAGTACCACAGACCGCCTCTAGAGAAGGCACAGAGACTTCCACATAGATTTTCCCTCAACATTTTTTTTCTTTTGGTTTTCAAACTTTTTAAAATTGTGAAATATACATAACATAAAATTTACCATTTTGACGATTTTTAAGTACATTGAACTGTTGTATAACCATCACCACTATGTATTTCCAGAAAATTTTCATCACCCCAAACAGAAACTTTGTCCCCATTAGACAATAACTCCCCATTCCTCTCTCCTCCGAGTCCTTGGTATCCTCAACATTTTATTCTGAAAATATTCCAACATATACAGAAAGGTTGAAAGCGTTTTACAATGAACACCCGTATACCTACCACCAAGATTCTACAATTAATATTTTGCTGTATTTGTTTTATCATGTCTAACCATCTATCCATCCCTCTATTCATCAATCCATGTTTTTGTTATGCATTTCAAAGTTGCAGACAACAGTACATTTCACTTCTAAACATTTCAACATGCATAGTATTAACTAGAGTTTAGGCTTACCTTTTTAACATAAACTTTACATGCAGTGAAATGCACAAATCTTAGACATCATTAGAGGAGTTTTGACAAATGCATATGCCTATGTAGCCCAAACCCTTATGAGGATATAGAACTATACTGTCCAATAGAGTAGTCACTAGCCACATGTGGCTAATTTAAATGTAATTAAAATTAAATGAAAATAAAAATTCAGTTTTTCAGTCGCACTGGCTACACTTCAAGAGTTCAATAGCCACATGTAGCTAGTGGCTACCCTATTGGACAGCACAGATATAGGACATTTCCTTCATTGCACAAAGTTCTAGGAACATTAACATCACCTAGAAAGTTCTCTAATGCCCCTTTCCAGTCAATCCCCAACTTCAATCCTCAGGCAACACCTCTTCTGATTTTGTTTTCACCGTGGATTATTTTAGCTTATTCTAGAACTTCTTATAAATGGAATTATACCATATTCTTGTGTGAACTGGCTTCTTTCACTCAGCATAATGATATTGAGATTCATCCATGCTGCTGTGTGTGTCAGGCTGGTTCCTTTTTATTGCTGAGTAGTAGTCCCTTGTATGGATATACTACAGTTTATCCATTTTCCTGTTGATGGATATCTGGGCTTTCTGTAGATTTATGCTTTAACTTCTTTTGAATAAATACCTAGGTGAGAAATTGCTGGGTCTTGGAGGAGGTGTATATTTAGTTATATATGAAACTGCCCGAGCTTTTTCCAAAGTGGTTGTATGCCCACCCAGGTTTTTGTAAGAACGACACGGAGTCCTTGCAGAGAAACGAATCAGATGAATAACTAGATACGGGCTCGGGTGAGTTAACGGTCCTCAGGCTCCGCCCTCCTCCCCGCCCCAGCGCTGCCTCCCGCCAGCTGGATCCTGATTGGATGGTGGAAGAGAGAGGCGGAGCCAGAGGGACTTCCCACGTCTCCGGCCGGGCTTCCTCGCAGTCAGCTTTGGGAAGTCTTCGCATCCGCCGGATGCTCTGCTCGCTGCTGCCGCCGGGGCCACTTCGGTATAAAGCGGAACACCGCTCTGTGATCTCCTCGCGTAAACCGAAGCCTGGTTTTGACGCAAGCTCTCTGGAGGAACGAGTTTTCTTCACCAGGAAATTTCCTCCTCCAGAACTCTTTCCAGACGTCGTTTTTGTTTTTGTTTTGTTTTGGGTGAGGAATGTTGGCCCTGAGCCAACATCTCTTGCCGGTCTTACTCTATTTTGTATGTGGGTTGCTGCCACAGCATGGCTTGATGAGCGGCGTGTGTAGGTCGGTGCTTGGGAGCCAAACCTGGGAACCTGGCCACCAAAGCGAGGGAACTTAACCACTATGCCACCAGGCTGGCCCCTCCATACGTCTTATCTGCTCTCTCTCACTGGTGGTCTCAGTCCAGTACCCTGCTCATAATAACAACAAGAACGACAGCACAAGGCTGGGCAGTTTATAAAATGCATTTTCAGGGTCCTCTCATTTGATACTTAAAAGAGCCCCTCCCCTGTAGAGTCCTCTCTCTCCAAGCTTTTGCCCGCTGCCTTTACAGCCCTAAGCTTCCAAGGACAGTCTTGTAGAGGAACGGAAAGGGTGTTTCATGGTCTTCTAGCTTCCAGAGCACGACTTCACCTTGCATTGCTTCACCACTGGGCAGCTGTGCTCATTTTATTGAACCTCTGGGACAGGTGATCCTCTCTCCTTCAAATCCTCTCTTCTCTGAACTTCTGCAACACACTCCCCTCCTTTCTTCCTGCATGTTGGCTGCTCCTCTTAGGTCTCCTTTGCTGAGCCAACCCTTTTTCCTCAACTAGACTTTATCTGAGGGCTTTATCATTTTTTTTCTTTTCTGATCCCATGGTTTAATTATCAGCTACATGCTGATTCCCAAAATTACATCTCCAGCCTGTCCTTCTCCCCTAAGCTGCAGACTATGTGTCCAGTTGTCCTCCTGATATCTCCAAACAGATGCCTAACAGGCATGTCAGACTCACTTTCTCCAAAACAGAACTTTTAATCTCCTTCTCCAATACCATATAAACCTGTTTTTCTCCTATCTTCATCATCTCAGTAAATGGCATCATCATTTTTGGCTCAAGTTAAAAACCTACACCAGGAGCCAGCCTGGTGGCACAGTGGTTAAGTTCTCACGTTCTGCTTCGGTAGGCTGGGATTTGCTGGTTCGGATCCCGGGTGTGGACCTACACATCGCTTGTCAAGCCATACTGTGGCAGGCGTCCCACATATAAAGTAGAGGAAGATGGGCATGGATATGAGCTTAGGGCCAGTCTTCCTCAGCAAAAAGAGGAGGATTGGTGGCAGATATTAGCTCAGGGCCAATCTTCTTCAAAAAAAAAAAAAAAGAAAGAAAGAAAGAAAAAGAAAACCTACACCATATCCTTGTTTCCTTCTTCACCTACCACATCCAATCCACCATGGAAACCTATTGTTCCTGCTTCCAAAATATATTTTGAATCTATTTACTTCCCTCCATCCCTACTCCACACCTTAGAGCTAGCAGCCTATCACCTCTCCCCTGGATTACAGCCATGGTCTCCTCATCTCACTGGATTCCTGGCTTCCACTCTGGCCCACTAGGATCCTTCCTCCAAACAGCAGCAGGTGTCTTTTCAAAGATATGAATCAGACTTTGCTACTGCTCCAGTTAAAAGCCCTCAATGCCTCCCTAGGCTATTCCTCTTAGAATAAAATCCTCAGTCCTTGTCATAACCTGAGGCCAATTCCCTCCCTTCCTTCCACTGTGACCTCAAGTCTCCCACTTTCTCCCTGACTCGCTATGTTTCTGTCACACTGGCCTCCTTGGTGTTTCTTGACCACCAAAGCCCTTTCCTATGCCAACGTCTTTGCACTTGCTCTTTCCTCTGCATGAAATACTTTCCCCCTTCCACCCTACCTCTTTTTGTGGCTGTCTCTTTCTCATCTTTCAGGTCTCCACTGAAATATCCACTCTGCAGAAAGGTTTCTCCCCACCACACACACCAGATCTAAAGTGGGCTTCCCAGTTACAATTTTATTACCCTGTTTATTTCCCTTGGAGAACTTACAACAGTACTCCCTCTGTTCATCAGCTCTCCAAGCACGGCCTGGATCTGTCTGGCCTGGTCACACAATGGTTCAAAAACAGGTCATTTAGTAAAGAGCATGGAGTCTGGAGTTGGGCGAGGTTTAAATCCTTGTGCCACCACTTACCAGTCAAGTGACCTTAAACCGGTCCAAGCATCAGATTCTTGATCTGTAAAATGAGGATAACAAGTGTATCTATTTCATAAGTGGGTACCTACTTTTGTGGGTACCTACTTCACATGAGATACATGTGAAGAGTTTAGGACAGTAAGCAGATAACAGAGGCTCCCTAAATTCTTTTGAGTGAACAAATACCAGGGTGAAGTATTGGAAAGCACCCCACTTAAGAGGCACTCAATAAGCCTTGCAGATTGAATGCCTCATGCAATCAGACTCCATCTGTTAGGTGCACGTGCAAAACAGAGTCCATCACTTCCACAGCCCAAAACTTTCAATGACTTCCCATTGCCCTGAGGTTAAAATGTAGTCTCCTCAACACAGTCTTCAAGGTCCTCTCTACACTGAGCTCTGTCTGCTTCTCCAGCCTGGCCTCCCTATACACATACACTATACTGTTTCATGCCTCTCTCCCACTGCTCACACTGTCCCCTCTGCCAAG